TACTGTGATACCTGTATGAGTCTTGTTACCTTGATACCTGTATGCATCTTGGTACTGTGATACCTGTATGAGTCTTGTTACCTTGATACCTGTATGTATCTTGGTACCGTGATACCTGTATGAGTCTTGGTACTGTGATACCTGTATGAGTCTTGTTACCTTGATACCTGTTTGCATCTTGTTACCGTGATACCGGTATGAGTCTTGGTACCGTGATACCTGTATGAGTCTTGCTTGTATGTGTCTTGGTACTGTGATACCTTTATTCATCTTGGTACCGTGATACCTGTATGAGTCTTGGTACCGTGATACCTGTATGAGTCTTGTTACCTTGATACCTGTATGTATCTTGGTACCGTGATACCTGTATGAGTCTTTGTACTGTGATACCTGTATGAGTCTTGTTACCTTGATACCTGTTTGCATCTTGGTACCGTGATACCTGTATGAGACTTGTTACCGTGATACCTCTATGAGACTTGTTACCGTGATAACTGTATGCGTCTTGGTACCGTGATACCTGTACGAGTCTTCTACCCAGCGTAGCAAAGAGGATGGACTGACCCCCATCTTTGACTTTCTAACGGTTTAAAAAAATATCTAACCTTCTATACAAGAAAGATTTACAATGGGCATCAGACCTTCATCACTGGCTAAACTGAAAACATACCATGATCTGCTTTTTCAAGTTACTGCTTCCAGCAGATGCATCTATCCATATCCTCTTACTCCACCACCACCTCTCTCTCTCTCTCTCTCTCTCTCTCTCTCTCTCTCTCTCTCTCTCTCTCTCTCTCTCTCTCTCTCTCTCTCTCTCTCTCTCTCTCTCTGAATTACCTTTTCCCTTTTTCTTTTCATTCCATTTATTATTTCTTTTCTTTTTCGTTTTGAATTGAACGATAATAATATTTTTACAAGTATTTCTTACCGGATTTCTTCCTTTTGTTGCTAGTGTTGTTGCTGGTGGTGGTACGCTTTTATACCCTCTTCAAACTTTTCTTAACTGTATAGGACACCTCTTATCAGCACGCAAATGAAGAGAGAAAAAAAACGAGAAAAACGCTTAAGAAAATAAATTTTAATCAGACAAAGGTTATCGACAGCGAAAATTAAAATAAATGAATTTCAAAAAAAATCGAAATTTACACAAAATATATTTCAGAAAACGGTACAAATTTCATGTTTGTTTCAATCTATATTCGGCATTAACTGTCCATACATAAGAGGTGACATAATTAATTTAAGCGATAAACTTGTGCAGTTTGTACGTGACCTTCACCTGGTTATAATGTAAAGTTTTATACTCTAGTATTCAGTACAACAGATGGATTTTTCTTCCTGTCATTATCAACAAATGTGCTGCACTGACTCAGCTGTTTGTACGGATGAGAGTTTGCTGACGAATTAAGCACATTGCAGTCCTGTTGAAAATGAAATAAATATAGTAATTTGCAGTACTTCAATTTCGTCACAACTCAAATTTAACATATCAAAAGTCATGTATATTTAATTACGTTTTTGAAGAACAAAATTCCTTCCTGTATTTTCTTTTACGTCTTGTTAGTATGGTAATAAATGCAATAATTTCAGCGTGATTTTTTGTTCTTGCTACGACTCAAACTCACCATAAATTGCCTGTAAAAATATCTAGCAAAGATGATATTGAAAAAAGATGTAAATTTCATTAAACTATTCTATTGCCAATCGGTATAGGCTACAAGTAAATTAGCGACAGTTTTACCATTACGTTATCAGTATGGATTTGCAGATATTATACGATGTTATATTTTAAGAATTAAACAGAAGGATGATCAACAAGATCCGAGTAGACCAAATGTTTTCCCCCATATGTAAAAAGTCTCTAGCCTGTATGTTTAGTTCAACCAGACTCTTGCGTGGCTTCGTAAGATATGAAGCATTACGTCATCTCAAATAATCAGCTAATCAAATCACTTTTCCAAATTGTGAGAAAGCTTTGATCAGGCGTCACACAAAAAAAAAAAATGTTTTTTTCAAACCTTCCTTAGATTGAGATCTTACGGAGCCACGCGATGGGCATAGTTGAACGAGACTTGGCTGTATGTTAAAATCATGGATTGGTGTGATGCCTGTTTACTTATCATTGGCAGAATGAACTTGTATTGTGTGCCGTTCAGACAATAAATATCGACAGCAACTGCATTTGGATCCACATCCAGAAGGATGAAGTGCATTTGGATCCACATCCAGAAGGATGGGGTATATTGAGGTTATGATAAGCGAAACCCAATTGACACCAGCTTTAGCTTCTAAGGCTGATATAAAACAAATTTCGAAATAACGAATCCTTATAAAATAAAAGTAAAGCGATTACTTGTACAATAATTTTATAAAATGATCATTTCGTTTCACCAAAAAATATCGCTGTGCGTATGCCATATAAATTACTTATACCTTCAGCATCAAACTTTATAAGTTCTAATTTTGTTTTCCAAACTGATTTAGCTTATTTACCGACTATGGCGCAGAATGCTTCGAGCACCGGTTCTCATTCAGCGCTCCTCTGTCATTTTTTTTTTATGATTTAACCAAACTGACTTGTCTCCCTTTAATTGTTAACGATGGCAACCAAACGCTTAGGAGATTTTACAGCTCTTAGTTCATTGGCTTTTATCGCTGTTACTTGGCCAAATGTCAAGGATTCCCGATGGGATAAATTCTTCCTATAGTTTGTCAGTAACCGTATACGAAATGTATGGAGTAAGTGTGAAATATTTGCGGACTATGTGCAGTGTCCCCCATTCAATAGGAAATGCACGCTAAATTCATCGATCAGTAACAAACTCTATCACTAATAATATTTCCGACTTAAATTGCTTTGAAAATCATCTGCCTTCAACGTGAACAATTTTAAATCAGCACTATTCCTATTTCGATCAAATTATATTCTATGAGAATCCCATATTAAGAAATTTCTGAAAAAAAAGAAGAATCTGCACAGATTTTATTTTTTGCCTTACAGAAGAGGATTCCAAATCTTCCTCAAATGAAACAGTTCCTCTTCCAATTTTTCATAGACTCTAGTACTGAAGCAGTCTGCATTCCTCCTGAAACATAACGATAGTCATGTGTATTATCAGACATATTTATTTTCAAAGCAATATTTATCAACCAAGATATATTTCTAGACAATTATTGTAAATGTATAGCTGAAAATATGAAAAATTAGCTATAATATAAAATGCATATATGACTATCGTTTGATAATTGTTTTTCTGATCATATAAGAACTGTAAGAACTACCCCAGACAAACCTAAATTGAAAGATTCTCTTTAACAAAACATGACGGTCATAAAATAAGCATAGAAAATAGAAAAGGCGAAAAAGAAAAGACATAAAGCATGTTAATTTTGTTTAGAAAACTTTAAATTACACCTTACAATAAACAATTATTCAGTGTTGAAAAAGATATATATATATATATATATATATATATATATATATATATATATATATATATATATATATATATATATATATATATATATATATATAGTTGCAGTAGTAGTAGTCGCAGTAGTAACAGTAGTAGTAGTAGTCGCAGTGGTAACAGTAGTAGTAGTATAGATGAAGGCAGCATTATGCCTCCTTCTTAATTAAAATCCTTGGGGTTAAACACTATTTCAGTGTTACACGTAGACTTAGCACGACTCTAGTCTTTTAATAAATTCCTTGGGATTAAACTCTCTTTCAGTGTTACACGTAGACTTAGCACGACTCTAGTCTTTTAATAAATTTCTTGGGGTTAAACTCTCTTTCAGTGTTATACGTAGACTTAGAACGACTCTAGTCTTTTAATAAATTCCTTGGGATTAAACTCTCTTTCAGTGTTACACGTAGACTTAGCACGACTCTTGTCTTTTAATAAATTCCTTGGGATTAAACTCTCTTTCAGTGTTACACGTAGACTTAGCACGACTCTAGTCTTCTAATAAATTCCTTGGGGTTAAACTCTCTTTCAGTGTTACACGTAGACTTAGCACGACTCTAGCCTTTTAATAAATTCCTTGGGGTTAAACTCAATTTCAGTGTTACATATAGACTTAGCTCAACTTTCGTCTTTTAATAAATTGCTTGAGGTGAAACTCTTTTTCAGTGTTACATGTAGACTTAGCACGACTCTCGTCTTTTAATAAATTCCTTGGGGTCAAACAGCTGAACACTTGTACTGTCTCTAGCGTTAATTCATATTTGTCAAGGTTTGCCTTTGCTATCCAGCAAGCCTAAGAAAAGAAAAGACTTTCGTGTTTTGTTTTGTTTTTATTTTTTATATTTATTTTTGTAGGTTTTTATGTTATGCACAACACGACTTCTAAACAAAACCACTATCCTTATATAATTAACATAAGTGTCTTAAATTTTATTTCACCAGAAATCCCTCAATTATTTCTGAAGAACATTGCTAATGCACATGATACGGTAAATACGTTAAAATAAGATACCAAACTTTAAGGTTGCATGACGAATAAAGAGCGGGCTTTTTGCCTTAGCTAGGAAAAAAAAGTGTATCTAAATGCCGAGATGTGGAAACTGTCCTAGGGTATTAAACTTTTAATAAATTAGGCTAAAAGTTTATAAGTTTAAAGTGTAGATAATGGAAAGAAAAGACATGAAAGGGTACAATATGCTAAAACAGGCAAAAATAAAGCACTTGTGTGCGAGAGAGAGAGAGAGAGAGAGAGAGAGAGAGAGAGAGAGAGAGAGAGAGAGAGAGAGAGAGAGAGAGAGAGATTTAAAGTTTCAAAGTAGCTTTAACAATTTTTCAGTCATACCGCTACGATGTCTGCAGTGTGGCATTTAACAGTAATGTCTATCACTGGATCATCATGCCGAAGACATGAAGCATGATGTCCCACCCAATCGCATTATTCTGACACCAGGTAAACCTGTCCTAACACTAACCTCATAATGCTGATAGCCAAGCGAGGCAGCTGTTTGTACCATTTTTATGTCTTTGGTATGACTCGGCCGGGGTTCGAACCCTTGGCCTCCCTCGTCTAAGGCAAACAATCTAACCACTAGGCCACCGGAGCTGTAGGTGGGATTTGTATAAATAATATCTAAATAGCATATGTTTAATAAAATCGTTGTTTGCAACTTACTGACCTGGTGATGTTATTGCATGAAAGCATTAGAAGTATCTTTCTTTTAGTATCGACAGAAGAGAAAAGTCAAATTGCAAGAAGACCAAAAGAAAACGAGATCACTAAAGTCTTTTCGATGACTATGTTTTTCGACTTTACCTCCTGTTTCTTATTGAATATGTTCACAGTATTTCCGTAACGGGTTAAACGAGATTGTAGGTAGCCAATGTCTGCTGTCCGTTTCCTTAACTTGGCCCTGGGAACCTATTAAAAAAGAACAGCCATTAAGTATTGATCCTTTTCTTTTCCTATAACTTAGAGAAACGTATCTACGTAGATTTTTCGTCTTGAAATTTATTTTAAAAAATCGGTTGTACAATATAGACTTTGAAATGACTGAATATTAAGATTAGAATGTTTTAATTTGTTTTCGTTGTTTATAATAAGTGGATAATTCGCATACTCTCTCTCTCTCTCTCTTTCTCTCTCTCTCTCTCTCTCTCTCTCTCTCTCTCTCTCTCTCTCTCTCTCTTTCTCTCTCTCTCTCTCTCTCTCTCTCTCTCTCTCTCTCTCTCTCTCTCTCTCTCTCTCTCTCTCTCTCTCTCTCTCTCTCTCTCTCTCTCTCTCTCTCTCTCTCTCTCTCTCTCTCTCTCTCTCTCTCTCTCCTGACTCCTGATGCGTTTGATCTTTCTCAAGCGAGTTTTTTTTATAGCTTGGATCTGTGATAATTTATTTCATATATAAACAACTTCTACATATCTCCAGCCAATCAAGAAAACAACCCAGCCTTTTCAAATTTAAAATTAAAAGCGAACGTATTTGTAACTACTGTACTATTTCATGTGGCGGAATACTGACGAGGAAGTGCAGTGTCTTTTAGAATTATTTAAATTTAAGATCAAAATCTTTTTCCAAAACAAGATGTGGTTCAATCGTGTAAAGGAACAATATAAGACCTCGTGTGCTTTCGTACCATCTCCCTTCTAAGCCTGCATTGTCCTGGGAGGTTTCATGACTTCCTATTATTGTACCATTTACTGAATTTAAATGAATGTGCAGAGGAGAGTTGGGATTGCATTTCGTAAATGATGATTTGAAGTTTTAATGACTAGCTTACATATTTAGCCTTACCAACAACCTAAACCTTAATGAATTTATTTATGTGATTCAGTCTTTTCCCTATAATCATTTCAGACACCCGGACGATCGCTAGTGATTAATTAATTTGTTTCGACTGACCTTGGTAAGCAGATGGTAAGTAAAATACCTATTCTTTTAACCCATGGTGTTAAATGGTTCAGAATACTTGCGTTTTTAGCATTACTCTATATCAGAACAAAACACCCGTGTATATATGTATTAATGAAATTTGTCTAAATTTCTGACGCAGGCGTGGAAAGCAGCTTCACCCAAGACAAGAATAACTCTTTGAAACCTTCTAGCGAAGACTATATCACTAAGAAGTAAAAAAGTTTTAGGACGGAGATGCGCTTAGTTTGAGCTGTCATGGCAGAATTTGGACATGCTATCTATGATGTTAGATTATATTTTGAGACTGAAAATAAGTAGTGAAGCATGTTTAGTAGGTTTGAGTTCTAGGTACAGCTTTCACTCAGACCTCATAATTTAGCAGTCAAATTGTGTTTACAGTTTCATTTTAGATGACCTACGTCCAGAACATTTAGTTGTCATAAGTAAGGTGACAATCTGAATATAAGTTTGAAATTCACATCATTATTTATTCCATATCTTAACTTCAACCATACAGGAATAAATTTTAGTTGTGTTGATTTGATATGATTTAATTTATTTATTTAAAGTAATCACTGAAATTGCAAAGTATTCATTAAGTTAAGACCAAATCACTGTTGTGAAGTAATTGTGCATTTATTCAATGACATTTTGGATTATATAATTGTGATACATCGAGGCTGTTGGTACGTCAGCACATTCAAAGTTGGAATTCATTTGGAACACCATTGGAATTAATTCGGAATGCACTACTTTTGGACTTGTGATAGATCTTTTATGAATATTTGGGATTTAATTCGCAATTCTGTATGTTTATATGAAATTTCCACTTTTATTCTATGGAAATAAATTGTTTGTTGAAATTTACAAAACTTGTTGCTCTTCGTTCTTTTCTTTACGTAGTTTAAGATCATACAGACGTAACATACTCTAAATGGAAACCCACAATAATTTGATACTAATAGACTGATCTTGTTTGCTGGATGGGCGTTATTTATTAAGCCTGGCATGGTTTTTATCCTGCCGACACAAATACTTCAAACACTTTATCCTGTTGGCGCAAAATAAATCAGTGGATATTTACATTATTACTGTGAGCAGTAATAAATAGGCACGCCACTTAGAGGAGCACTGCTCTATAAAGCTGACATAACTATAATTTTGTATTCAAAATGACTCGAAATAGTCAAATTAAGATTGCTTAATGTATGAAAAGGAAAAGTTTAAACTAGCGTTTAAAGAATTTTAAACTTGTATATTAGTAGTAGCAAATTACAACAAACTTTATGAAACTTACACAGTTACCTCCCCTCAGACTTGTGCGGTATTCGGGACTTGAATTGCATCTATTTGTGAGGTACATTCACTAAAATCGTCATAATTTATCAGAAGTAAAACGATACGTCTCTGTGATGTGAAGGGCAAATAGGAAATAGCGACATTGACTGGGAAAGTTGCCATTGGCAACGTCGTGACGTTTGATTTTTATGACGTTGAAATAATGCTCATAATGAAGTATTGTTTAGTGTTATTGTTTTTCTATCTCTCGTATTTGGGAAACGTTTAATAAAGTTTATCGTGGTTTTTATTCTTAATGATGATATACAGAGTTACTGGGGGTTTTTTTCTAATATCGCTCCTAGTATAAACTGACACTCGTTCAATGGCATTATATTGCTGCCTTTCAATTGATTAACTTTATAGACGTTTGACGAGGTAAAAATTTCTGAATTGAGTACATACTCAAGCTTAGAAAGTTGTATACAGTTACAGACAGACGTTCTTTCCGAACTGGAACTAATGGATAGTCCTAAACAGGATGGGCGAAAAGCAGTGGATAATTTTTGTTTGTTTTCTTATTGTTTTTTTTTTTTTTGTTTTTGTTTTTTTTTTTTTTTTTTTTTGGAACCACTTTGGCTTAGTGCTTGCCTGCGACGAGAAATATTCGGTTTCAGTTCCTGTTCAGACTAGGCTGGGCCGACTGCCATTGTGCATTTCTGGGCAAGGTTCTTTAAATGCCTTGACACGATATAACCTTTTATGTGTTGATGTACCACTAAAAAGAAAATAAAAAACTCTCTCTCTCTCTCTCTCTCTCTCTCTCTCTCTCTCTCTCTCTCTCTCTCTCTCTCTCTCTCTCTCTCTCTCTCTCTGTATTGACATAATCTCATTGTCGTGGAAAAGATCCATCAAGATCAATTACCCATGAGCTCTAAGTCATACGTGTACATCTTTTCATTTTGGTGGCATTCATATCTATGCTAAAACTGCAGTAAGGTAAGAATTTGAAAGACAACGGACGGACTGAAAAATACATGGACGGGTAGGAGGATGAAGTAATAAACTCTTCAGTCTTTGACTTTATATAAATATGCAAACCAGAAGTAGACAGGGCCGGATGAAGGCTTTGGGGATGGTGCGGTTTATTTAGGGAAGGAGGGGGGCTTATAGATGCTTAAACTATCTTTTATATATGTGTACTTATAATAGATATATTAGACTAAGTTAGATGGTTTAAACCTAGATATGATTTATTTAAGCAAAAATAATTATATCCATATCAAATCATGGGCTTCCAAGACTAAATGGGGGGACTGCCCAGTGTGCAACCCAACCCCCCAATGTTTCCATTTTAAATTCAGGCCTCATTGAGACTTTTGGCATCCTTTCAAAGTATTTTTGTTGGTACTCCAACAGTCCAGTCAAAAACTGCGTTCAAAATATTACCATTAAGGTCATTACATAGGTTAACGCGCCTAAACGTTATTAGCACTTTCACGTGTACAGCCGCTCCACCCACCTGTCTGCCACATCTAAGAACTAACCAATCACAGCAATGATTAAATTTAATGCATAATCGTCTCATACTTAGACAAACTGTCGTAGCTTAGTTGAATTATATAAAAACTTTGAACACCAGTATTGGATTATATAGTAATTATTAACAACAGTAGAGAATTATATAGTAACTTTGAACACCAGTATTGAATTATATAGTAACTTTTAACACCAGTAGAGAATTATATAGTAGCTTTGAACACCAGTATTGAATTATATAGTAATTTTGAACACCAGTATTGGATTATATAGTAACTATGAACACCATTATTGAATTATATAGTAACCTTGAACATTAGCTTTTAAGTATATAGTCACTTTGAACACCAGTATTGAATTATATAGCAATTTTGAACATCATTATTGAAATATATAGTAACTGTGAACACCATTATTGAATTATATAGTAACTTTTGAACACCATTATCTAAAACAAATTAAGAGCCACAGTCTATGACGTGTATAGACTCAAACTCAGTGTCTTTGACAAAGTACTTGAAAGCGCCAAAGATGAACATTATAAAAATGAATACGTGAAGGAAGTAGGAGTAGATGGAATGTTGGGTATCAAATTATACGGTCTGTTGAAAATTATTCATATAATACACACATATTCGAGTGATTTAATGACTAGATTTTAGTTTTATAAAAAGAAAGATAAGTATTTCTCGTAATATCAAATATTAAAATGGTGACTATTTTGCGGTCTTTTTTAAATTCTAACTAAAATATCTTGTATTTGGTACATCGAATCGATTTATTACAGTAAATTGCTTGGGATATTTCTATTACAGTACATTACATCGTGATATTTCTAGTATAGCAAATTGTTTTGTGGCATTTACATTACAGTAGATTACT